CTTGTTTTTTTTTTTGTTGTTGTGGAGGGGGTATACCTATTAAAGTATCCTTAGGATTTTTTTTTTTTTAAGATTTTATTTATTTATTCATGAGAGATACAGAGAGAGAAAGGCAGAGACACAGGCAGAGGGAGAAGCAGGCTCCATGCAGGGAGCTCGATGTGGGACTTGATCCCAGGTCTCCAGGATCACGCCCTGGGCTGCAGGCACCAAACCGCTGAGCCACCCAGGGATCCCTGTCCTTAGGATTTTAATGAAGTACTAACACTTCTGTATTCATGAAACTTTTTTTCTTGGTAGTCATAACAGTTGTTCCTAGTTGACATAATTTTATCACTTTTTTTACTTTTGAAATGCTTATTATTATTACCCCTTTATTTACTCAGAGGACATAAAAGTACATTTATTACAACATGTAACATGCCAAAACGTACAGCTCACGAGTGTGCAGTGTAGTGAGTGACCACAGTGTGAACATGTCCCAGTAAATCCCAGTCAGGTCTGGAACACTGCAGTACTTCAGAAGCTCCTTTTTGTTTCTCCTTCCTGTCGCTCAGTACATTCTTCCACTGCCCAAAAGTTGCCATTATCTGGACCTCTAACAACCTAAGTGAGTTTTCTTATGCTTTATACACTTGGAATCTTCTACTACAGGTCTTTTTTCTATCTGGCTGCTTTTACTTCTTGTGTTTGGGAGTTTTAGCTGTATTTTGAATATAGTTGTAGTTCATTCTCATGTTATTCCATTGTATGAATATCCTGTAATTTTTTCTCATTCTCTTGAAAAGCATATCATGATGTATTTATTACCTGCTTATATCAGGACACTGTCCTCAATCCAGTGTGTGTCTTATAATTTTACTTTATTACTGGTCTTGTACCTTTCTTAATTTATTCCTAGATTAAAAAAAGTTTGTTTTTATGAATTGAGACACTTACCTCTCCTTTTTCTACCAAGTTATTGGTAGGGTAGGTAGTGGGAAAGCTAATTAATTTTATTTATTTATATTGTACCCAATTACCTTCATTTTCTAATAATTTTTAGTTGATTCTTGTCATTATTTCAGCACCCTGATTCCCAATAATTATCTCATTATTAGGATAATTTCCAATATACTTTTTATTTCCTTTCTTTGTATTAGGTTGACCAGACTTTTCAGAATATAAATATTAAAATAATGTTAGTAATATGCTTCTTTGCCTCCTTTCTGATTTTAATGAAGGTGTCTCAAGTATTTTATTTTCAAGTATGATGTGTAGTAATTTATAGATTTCTCTTTACAAATTTAAAAACACTTTTTCTCAAATTCATAGTTGAGAGTTTCTTCTAAACTGATTATTGTTGGAATTTAGAAATATTCTAATGTATCTGTTTGAGATATGAACAGATTTCTTTGTAATCCTTAATCTTTAGAACGTAAAGATTTTATCACTGACCCTCTCCCCTTTTTAAACATTATAAACACTATTTCTGTATATTCTTTTGGTATACAATACAGTTTATCAAGAATAGACCAGGGTTGACATCTGTGTTCATAGGTAAATTGGTCTATAATTTCCTATTTTATATTTGTCAGTATTTTGTGTTCATATTATGCTGGCCTTATGTAGTTATTCAGAAGATTTTTCCCTTTTCTCAGGCTTTGAGGTAGTTTAGATCAAGAAATAATTTGGTCCTTGAAGATTTGGTGTAACAGCACAGCTCTAAAATAATGGGCCTGATTCCTTTATTGGGTACAGATCTTGGACAACCTTTTCAGTTCTTCTGTAGCTTTACTGGGTCTCTTAACTTGGTAGTTTCTCTACCCTTTAAAGCAGTTCTGTTAGTTTATATTTTCCTAGATGATCATCTGTTTAATCAAAGATTTGTATTTATTGGCATAAAGTTATATATACTTAAAACAAATTTTAAAGCTTTTTAAAAATATATTTTTAGTATTGTCACCTTTCTTATATGTGGTGGAGTTTTCTCCCATACTTTGGTTTTCCATCCAGCTTTTTGGAAAGAAAAGCTTTTGACTGTTAACTGCGACATATTTTATTTCTTCTACCTTACTTTAGTTTATTTTCTCTCGTTTCCCCCACTCCCTCCAGTGTCTTAAAATGTACTTTTCCTGTACCGATTAAATTGGAATTTTCCTTTGATTACCAGTCTGGCTATGTCCCATAGGTTTGGGTATCTTATGATCCCAATATTAATATAATTTTGATTCCTTTGGCCCAAGAATAAGACAGTATTATTTTAATTCCTAAGAGGTTAGTTTGCAAGTTGTCTTTATTTTTAATTCCTATTTGAATTGTATTGTGGTCAAATCATATAGCCTATATATTTGGAATTTGAAGTAGATTTTCTTCCATCTTTTGGCACACTGTCAGTTTTTTTAAAAAATAGTCTATAAATACTTAATTTATACATATCTATAGTTACATGCACACTCATACATACGTACTCTCTGAAGTCAACTAAACTTATTTCAGAGATAAGAGCATTAAGACTTCAAAAGAGAGAGAAACTAGTCTTGTTGAAAGGGTCATCTATAAATAGATGGGGAACAAACAAGAAAGGACATCGTGTATTTAGAGAACTTAAGAAACAAGGACCTGTGTGCATCTGTGGGAAGACAAGCCTGACTTAAGTGGGAGGAATCTTTCTTGAAGAGTCATAGGAAATAAGACTGAATAGGAACTTTGGCCTGATAGTAGGACCAGGTTAAAGGTTTAGTGAAAGACCTAATGACCAATATTACATTTCATTTTATAAATGTTTGGTGGTTTCATTGTAGTATCTGTGGTAGTTAACTTAAATAATTATCTTCACAGGCAGCCAGAGTATGGAAAGGACAAACATAATTCTAGGGTAGGATTCTGAGGAAGTAGTATGTATCAAATTTGACAGCTCAGCAGTGTTAGCTTTATTCATAATGACAAATGGTGAAGAACTCTGCTAAATATACTGACATGGAACATCTGTTGAAATTTCGAAGGAATAGATATGATTGCAGATTTTAAACATCAGAAAACTTTTTTAGAAGGAGGTTCATAAAAATAATTGATAATTATAAAAAATAATTTATGCTGGCAAAAAGTGATTTTTGCATGTTTGAAAAATTTTTTGTTGAAATTTAAATGTGTCTTTTTACCTCTACTGGTTTAACTATCTATAGATTGTAACTTTGGCATTTACTTGTACAAATTGGGAGAATCTTAAATAGAATAAATATAAGAGATGAACATAATTTTAGAATAAAAGAGGGATAATATTGCAGCTTGCTAATAGAAATCTCTTTGCTCTTAAAAATACATAGACTCTATTTTGAATATAGGTAAAAAATATATGTATAACCATTTAGTGTTTTAATTCCTTATCTCTAAACGTACACTTTCACTTTAAGAGACTCAATACAAATATATTTTGGTCATACTAATTTTGACCAAAAGCATGATATCTGATATATTTGAATATCAAAAGAACGTGTGATAGTCTATGACAGTCACTGTCTGAAGAGCATAATAAAGAAAAACAGTTGATTGTTTTTGTTTTATATTTATTCTCAAATTCAGTATAGTTTGGCTATTAAATGGACATGTGCCCTTTATTTTCAAATTGGAAAAATGGGAAGATTTTAGAGTTCTAAGCAAAGCTTATGTGTGCTAGTTTCATATGCATTAAAGTGACCTTAATAATCCTACATGTGAAAATATAGTTTTCATGACTATTTTTAACCACACCAGTTAGGTTTTTAAATGGCATGTATAACCAAAAAAAAAGAAAAGCATAATTTATGTTAGCTATAAAGTAATAATTCTGTTTATAATGCTAAGCTATATAGAAAGGACTTATTAGCCTTGCCTTTAATTAAGTATAAGAATGTATAACTAGAATATTTCACTTAATGTTTGTCAGTTACATTTTTTTTTCCCTTCTGTAAAATATAGCATAGTGTCTGGATGGCCAAGAATTGCTTAAGAGAGGCATGGATTTTTTGTAAAATATTTTGCATGTGGCCCCAAAACGTTTTATGGTTAACAGAGCTAGGATTTAGATATAAGTCCAATATAAATGAATATTATAAAAATATCATTTTTAATAATACATGTTTCTTGTATACAACAGTATTTGATATGTAAGCTTACATTTATTTCTGTATGAGCCAATATTTCCAGATGATTTGCTTATGTGTAAAACATGTATCAGTGTTATTTCCTGTTATAAATTTTTGAGATCATCTGTTTATAAAGAAAAGGGAAGCTCAAGCATAAGGTGGTAATAATGATAATATTCATTAATTATTACACTAATAAAACTCAAATATTTTTGAAATAAGGAATTCATTCTATGGTAACTAAAGTCTGAGGGCTTACTTTTTCATTCTTTATTTTTGGATCCTTCAGCTAAAAGGTAATTACAGTGGTAGTATTATGCCTATAAGAGTCAGTTATTTTCTTTCAGATATAGGCTTTCCAGAAACATGTATTCCAACCCTAAAATTAGGGATATTCAAGATATACATGAACATTAAGGAGGGCATGTGATGTAATGAGCACTGGGTATTATACAAGATTAATGAATCACTGACCTCTATCTCTGAAACTGAGAATACATTATATGTTAATTAATTGGATTTAAATAAAATTTTTAAATGAAACTGATACTAGAAAACATAGGGTAAGAGTTATTTAGTATCTCAGTCTTATGTTGCTTCTGATTAGACGACCAGACTCTAGTAAGTTTTACAGCATTATTCATATAGGAAGGTTTGGTGTATTGTTTAGTAATACTTCTCTACATGAAAACAAAAAAACATTTTTATAGTGAAGGGATAAGGAAATACACATATGGTCAGTTTTACAAAGTTCTTTTCAACTACGTAATATGGGACAGTATTTTTGTAATACTTTAAAAGAAAAAAAGTATTTGAACACAAGAATAATTAAACTGTAGTATTGAAGGATTTAATTATTATAATTACCCCAAATTGGCATTTTGTTATATTTTCTAGGCAATTAAGTTGGAGTATTCAAGATTGGTTAAATTGGCCCAAGAAGATACCCCACCAGAAACAGATTATCGTTTACATCATGTAGTGGTTTATTTTATCCAGAACCAAGCACCAAAGAAAATCATTGAGAAAACATTGCTAGAACAATTTGGAGATAGAAATTTGAGTTTTGATGAAAGGTAATTTAAAAATATGAAATATATAACTCATATACTCAAATTGTCGTTTTAAAATAGCTTTCAATGCAGTTTTTTAATGCTTATTTTATACCTATACAGAGACCTATTTCAGTAAATATAGCACAAAACTTGACTTCACTTAATTTGAACAGTTGCTTTATAATTTCTCTGGAGTTTATAGTTGTGACCTTTAAAAAGTTTGAGCTGAAAATAATTTAGATTGTTTTAGTATATTTGAATTATTGACCAAGGTACTGAGCTAAGCAACATAAAAATATACAGAAGAGTATACTATAATCACTGCCCTTTTGGGATTCAATATTTTAGAAAAATAAAGAATTCCTCAGTCTCTGTGCTATGTATATTTGAGTCAGTTCGTACTTTATTGTAGGGGGCTGTCCTATAACTTGTAGGAGACTTAGCAGTGTTCCTGACCTCGCCTTGTTAAATACTGGTAGTACCTCCTTCCAGTGGTGACACCCCAAAGTGTCTCCAGATACTGCCAAATAATCTCCTGAGGAGCAAAATTACTCTGTTTGAGAATCACTGGAGAAAAGTATTTAATTGTATATACAAATAAAATAGGTTAATGCCCTCTGACATCAAGAGAAGCCTTAAAATGGTTAAATTATATATTGTATTTTTATAGTAAAGTAAGCTAAAGAAGAGAAAGTGTTACTAAAATCATAAAGAGAAAACACACAATACTGTAAAAAATCTGTGTGTGAATGGACCTGTAAAACCCATGTTATGTCAGTATCTACTGTATTTTGGTTTACCCAAAAATGTTTTCTCCTAGAAATCTGTATAAAATTCCTAGAATTTTTTCCTATGATTAGAAAATTAAAATATAATCTAGTTAGAATGAATACCATTTAAAAAATTTAAACCTTGGATAAAGATCCAAGTATTGGACATGGTTTTAGAATACAGAAACACTTATGTTATCTTTTAATTCTGAAATAATTGATTATCTTTTCATGAATATCTCAAAAATACTGAAAATATGTATAGCAGAGGAGCATATGAGAAAAACAAAGCATTCAGGATGTAATTCCTGTTTTACCATGTGTCTGCTGTGATATTTAGGATTAAGTAAAAGAATACAAGTAAATGATTTGAACAATATATGATAGACAATAAAGTGCTCAGTGAATGTTGGTTATTCCAATTTTATTAATATTAGCATGAGCATCACTTATTTTACATATAACCACTGCAAAGAGCTCAGAACTATGACTGATTATGACCCTTATTATTTGGTTTGTTGGGACACCATGTTGCAGTGAATATATATACTATTGCACTTGGGGAAAATATTAATGGGATAATCACACTGACTTCTCATTCCTTTGCAATTTTTGTTCTGAGGACTACAAATTGGTCAGTTTGTTTTGATAGCCTAGTTTCTCTTACACTAGAAAGACAGAATAAGATCCCTGTGCTAACTAAATATATTCTGTGGAGATTTCTTTGTAACAATGATTGTATACATTAGAATGTCTCTGTTACCTGAGACTGAGACGATAGGCACATTTTGGATTCCTTTTTTTGCTATTTATGAACAATGCCATTTGAAAGGGGAAAATGAGATTTAATGTCTCTTAAGCTTACTTAATAGATACACATTATAAAAAAACCACATTTCATTTGTTTACTTCCGCAGTATGTATTGATAGAGTAATTTAAAAGCCATATGTAAATATAGCATGGTAAACTTGAGTTAAAATTATTGATGCTGTCTTTTTTATGTACTTTACCATCCAACATTGATCCAAAAAACATTTTCAATTAAAATTATTTGGGAGTTGCTCCTTCAAAAAACCATTGCTCAGTGACAGTGGATTTATTTTCATGTGTTAGGTAGTTCAGTTTTGTGTCACATATTTTTCAGTTTTTATGAATTCTACTTTTGATTTAGAAATGCATTTCTTTTATTTGAAGGTGTCACAATATAATGAAAGTTGCTCAAGCCAAACTTGAAATGATAAAACCTGAAGAAGTAAACTTGGAGGAATATGAGGTAAAGTGCCTTTTGAGAGGTTGAGCTGTAAATTGAGGAATTCTATTGTTCACTGATCTACCTATTATTTCAACATAGTTGAGCACATGAGCGAATAAGCATAGAAGAGGGTAAAGTAACCTGTCCAGAGTTTTCACAGCTAGCAGATTATAGCTTGGTTAACACAACCTCGATCAATTGATCGATCAATCTTTCAATCTTCCTTCCTTCCTCCCTCCCTCCCTCTCTATCTATCTATCTATCTATCTATCTATCTATCTATCTATCTATTTAATAGAACCTGCATTCTTAAATGTTATTATGGTCACTGAACCCATGCTGTATTTTCTTTGTTTGCCTAATCAGATATTTTAGGGAAGAAGTTAAAAACTTGACTTTAATTACTGTATGCCATATACATTTGTCATTATTGGACAGTGTTGTACATATGAGAGAGAGCATGCATGCACACTCATATCATGCTTATGGTAATTTTTGTACACAAAATTCTTTCGTGTTAACTTTGGCCTTAAAATTAATGCTTTTTAAAAAATTTATCAGTTTAAACACCTAGTATTTCTTCAGCTTTTTAATTTAGCTATACATTGTCTTTTTAAGTTTATAAATCTAGTAAATTTTAAGCTGATTTCATAGTGTCTTTTATTAATGTTTGGTCCCAAACTTAATTACTTTAGATTCCTTTAAACAATTATTGTAATTCATCACATTATCATATAAGAAAATGCACATTTTTAAAGACTTTATTTATTTATTTATTTATTTATTCATGAGAGAGGCAGAGACATAGGCAGAGGGAAAGGCAGGCTCCTCCAGGGAGACTGATGCAGGACTCCATCCCAAGACCCTGGGATCATGACCTGAGCCAAAGGCAGACACTCAACCACTGAGTCACCCAGATGCCCTAAGAATACTCATTTTAGATGGAAACCCTTAACCTGGAATACAAAGTACAGTTACTTTAAGCTGCTAAAGAGTTAAAGAACAACAAAACTATCAAATATATAGAACTGTGGACATTGAAAGCTTTCCTTTTGTCATCAACAAAAAGACAGGGATGTCTGCAACCACCACTTCTATTCAAAATTGTACTGGAAGTTCAAGTGGGCAGCAGCAAAGCAACAAAAATAAAATGTAAAAGATTGGAAAAGAAGAAACAAGGTTATCATTATTTGGGAATTTTACACCTAGAAATTACAAACAAAATTTACAGATAAATAATTGGAACTAGTAAGAGAGCTTGGCAACATGTAGAACTTATGTCAAGCACCAGTTTTTTTAGTCCTTTATCCCAGCAGCAGATAATGAAAAAGTGAAATTAAAAAAAAAAGACACCATTTATAATCGCATCAAAGAGTGGGCAGTAACTAGAAAACAATTTAGCAAAAAAATGTATATGACTTAAAGAGACATTAAAGAAAAACCTAAATAAATGGATATACATAGATATTTGGAAAACTTGGTATTTTAATGATGCTATTTTTTTCCCCAGATTAGTTTATTGATTTTGTGCATTCCCTGTTAAACTTCTAGCAAGTTGTTTGATGAAGGTTGATTAGCTGATTTCAAAAATTTTATGAGGAATGCCTGGTTGGCTCAGTCAGCAGAGAGTATAAAACTCTTGAACTCAAGGTCATGAGTTTGAGCCACATGTAGGGTGTAGATATTACTTAAGTAAAACCTAGAAAAATTATGAAATGCAAACATCTCACTCTAGCTAGATGTTCTTGAAGAACAAGGTAGGAAGGCTTATTCTATTAGAAATCAAGAGATACCATTCTTAACCACTATGTTTTATAATAATAAAAGCATAAGGGTAGGTAATTACAACAATAAAGCAGAATAAAAAATCTTTTTTTTAAATTTTTATTTATTTATGATAGTCACACACACACACAGAGAGAGAGAGAGAGAGGCAGAGACATAGGCAGAGGGAGAAGCAGGGTCCATGCACCGGGAGCCCGACGTGGGATTCGATCCCGGGTCTCCAGGATCACGCCCTGGGCCAAAGGCAGGTGCCAAACCACTGCACCACCCAGGGATCCCCAGAATAAAAAATCTAAGAACATATGTGTAAATAAATGTACATATGATATATGCCAGAGATGACAAGTGAGTTGCTCACTCTGCTTTGTCTCCAAGATTCAAGTTACGTGGGACTTGATGTTTTAATTATGACTTGATTCTGCAGTCTCTCCCCATGGTTGCTTCATCAGATTGAACACAGCATATTTTTGTTTTGAACACTTCTCATATTCTAACTGCAGAGCCATTAAATCTTACAAATATTTACATGATATGTTTCTGGATTCTGTGTATCCTGCATATCTTTATCTTGCTCTGAGTCACGAGTCAGCAAACGTTGGCCCACAGACCAAGTCCAGCCCACAGCCAGTTTTTATAAATACAGTTTTATTGGAACTATTTGTTTACATATTGTTTAGGACTGCTTTCACACTACAGTTGCAGAGTTGAATAGTGACAACAGAGACTGCATGGCATGCAAAGCCTAACACTTACTGTCTAGGTCTTTACAGAAAAAGTTCACTTACAACCTCTCAGGCAATTCTAATGACAAGAGTGGCAATTTGAATACTTTTCCACAAGAGCTAACTTTAATTATTTATTAAATCCTATATTGAATTTAGTTACAGTTTTTCTTGAAGCAGTTTCTTTTTTTTTATAAGTTAACAAAAAATCCAGATAATGTTTTCTAGGTAGAGGCTGTCAGTTCTGAATTCTTGAGTCCTATTACATGCCCAATAATTGGATTTTTTGGAGGGAGGTGTGGTTGGAATATGACATGCTTTTTATTCTTTTCACCATACCTCATATGAAGAAACTATTCAGCTACCATATATAAAATAAAATTTAACATAAATTTGGCAAAGTTAAAAGGTTAAATAAATTTATTATAATTTTTCTTTTAGTTTCTTAAAATTCTTCATCAAATAATAATCTTCAGTATTGATTCTGTTATAGTAGTAACTTCATTTACCTCTTACATCCAATCTGATGTACATCTATAATAATGTTTTAATAATATACCTTTATACAGAACGGTTTTTGAGAAACAGAAAACATGGTAGATTATTTTGCCTTTATATTTTGTTATCTTAAAGTGAATCATTTAATTTCTTAATAATGTCTAATTTGTACATTTATTCTTAGACTAATAAAGTCTTGTGTATTGAAATTGAAAGTCTTGATTTAAGTCTAGTGGATCTTAATTTTGAATTCTTTGCTTCTATTAATCTGAATAGTTGTCAGAACAATGCATTACTTTATAAACAATTTTCATTATGGTTTTAATATCCTCCTCTGCATTCTTTTAATATTTTCTTTTACCTACAGGAGTGGCATCAGGATTATAGGAAATTCAGGGAAACAACAATGTATCTCATAATTGGGCTCGAAAATTTTCAAAGAGAAAGGTAAGGCAGAGTGGCCAAATAGGAAAGGAAGAGCTTAATTTCTGTACATAATTCTATTTGGTTATGACCTCATCTATAGAAAATATTTTCTTCACAATATGTATTTTTAATAAACTTTTAATTTTATGTTTTAGATTTACAGAGAAATTGTGTAGTTCCTATACACCCCAAATATTTTCAGTTTTCAATTAAATCTGTAAGGTTGGCGTTAATCTTTGTTTTTATTGACTCTCAAATACTACAGTTGAAGTTTCGGATGGAATAGGATTAGGTTGAAGCCTACAAGTTTGCTGGTAGCCCAACACAGAGAATTCTTTGTATTCCTTAATATTTGCATTCAGACTCCAGCCTTTTTCATGTTCTTTCTGAGTCTAATCTTGACTTCAGAGCAAAGATAGTCTTTTCAATCTGTCTCTTTGTCCGAACTTCCAGGTACTATAAACAGTATAGCTGTAGAAAATAGATCACTTGTCTTCTAAGCTTTGTGACTACAAACACATTTTAGATCATTTTTCATTTAAATTACATATTATTTTAAAGGAATCTCTACTTATTAAATTCTAATATTTATTTTTAAGTGTTATTAAGAAAAAAGGATGGATACTGATTTATTTACTTACACATTATAAACTAGTGAGTTTGTGTTTACATGTTATTCACGTATTTAACTCATAATCTGTACCATGAATGTACTTGACTAGTGATTTTTTTTAGAAAGTGCTGTGTTTTTAATAGACTGTAATACTGTATTCAAGTAAAAGCATTATTGAATCCCCTCTTTTCTTTCTTTCCTTCCTTTCCTTGTTTTGTATGAACTATAGGAAACCTCCACTGAGATGTTGATGCAATTTTGTTTTTAAATGACAACACGTGGTATTACAGAGCTCTGCTGGCCATCCTGGTTGCTACCAACCACATGTGACAATTTAAATTTAATTAAAAATTTTAAAACTGAAAATTCAGTTTCTTAGTCACACTAGCCACATTTTGAATGTTTAGTAGCCACCTGTGGCTAGTGGTTCCCATATTGGCCAGCATAGATAGAATACTTCCATTGCTACAGAAAGTTCTGTTGGACTGCATTCCTCTATTTGTGGGACAGCACACAATGCCATCACTTTTACCAAAATTTTAAAAGTTAACACAAAATTAAAAAATAATGTTAATACTTGGATGCAAATTATTAAAGTCCTAATGCTTGTGTAATTTATTTATTTATTTTTATTTTAACTTTGTTAACACAGAGTGCAATATTGATTTTTGGAGTAGAATTCATACAACATCCAATGCTCATCAAAAATATATCACAAATAGTGTGTACTTTATAAGGTAATTCACTTTGGTCACTGAAATAGAAAAGTATTTTGATTAGTAGCTCCATTTTATGAGTTACTTTATTTTGGTCAGAGTTTTATTTCTTTAATAGGAGTATTTAAATTCACTTTAGGATATCTAGGATTAATATTTCTGAGGATAGTAATGTGACCTTATAATTGAACAGAGTATCTAAGATCAATAAAGGCATTTTAATTTTATAGATAAAGAAACTATTTTTTCTTACACACGTCTCCAGAGAGATACAGTAATATTTTCAAGGTCACACAATTAACTAGGGAGATAAAAATTGAAATAGAGATCTGTATTCTTATAAAATTTAATAAAATCGGGTAAGTGCAAGAAGTATTTATTTTTCTCAAAAAGAATTAAAAAGATGAAACTGTCACTTTCTTGCTCTCTGCATTCACTTCTATATTAGCTTTTCTTAATTAACATTTGTTAAAGAATTTGAGATATAACTTGGAAGTATTTAAATTTCATAATTTGCTTATTCTCAAATATATACTTATTCAGGAAGTGAAGATTCTATAGCAAATGTTATTGAATCAGGAAGGTCAACTATAAAACTAGTAATAATGACAAATATTTATGGACTATTATTGTAAAAAGAAATGTTAATTTTACACTTTAAATATAGCAATTACCACAGCTAGCAGGTTAGAAAATATTGCCAAAGATTCTGTCCAATTTTTTTTTTTAAGTAAAAACATAGCACTTGAAAGCCTTGAATGGAATCTGATTGATAGTCCATTGTCAAGTCTGTGAGTAGTGAAGTGAAATTATGTTTTTAGGAACCATAATTTTACAATACTGTAAATGAGGATAAAGAGAATCTACAGGGGCTGCATGGTCTTGTTTTATCTTAAAATAAGAATGTGGTACCTGAACTGCTGAGTCTTACTTTGATTTGTTTGAAGATATGTTTGTAGGCTCTTTAGAGGTTGTTGATAAACTATGGAAATTGTGTACTTCAGTAGAATATTGGAACAGGGTCATCGTTTCAGAGCTATTCTTAGAGAGGTAACTCAGGTCTTGAAGGCCAGATATGAATGTCATCCAAGGAGACTTTTGAGTAGGAAACTTAATAGCTATAAAAAAAAAAAAAAGGTAGATGTGCCAGCAGACTACCTTAATTTAGTGGTGTAAAACAACATTTGATACTATTATCACTCCCTTCTTTTTTTTTCTTTCATAAATAAAACAAAGTCTTTAGCTCAGCTTATTTTTGTATTATTTCAATATAAAATTCCATATTCATAGGTTTTCTCAAAAACAAATTCCTTTTCAAAAATATGAACTAGCTTATTTTTTATGAAATAGTTTCAGGTGTGTAATTTGAGTTGTCATTAATTTCAATTCTACATTTAACATTTGAAGTATAGAATTGATTTATATTTGAGCCCATGAAATTAAATAATAAGCAGTAAAACTTAGTGTTAATCCATAAGAGAAGGTATGTTATGATTAGAAAAACTGACACAAAGGAGGTATACTATCATTCATAATTCAGTTCTCCAAATATGTACCTGTATCTACTTCTTTAAGCATATGAAGGAGAGGATAATTATTTTAGAGGCAAATAGAATGCTCAAACATTTCCACCTTCATCCCTTTTTAAAACATAGTTTGAAATTTATAACCTCTAGACTTAACATTAATATATATTAATATTGGGGATCCCTGGGTGGCGCAGCGGTTTGGCGCCTGCCTTTGGCCCGGGGTGCGATCCTGGAGGCCCGGGATCGAGTCCCACATCGGGCTCCCGGTGCATGGAGCCTGCTTCTCCCTCTGCCTATGTCTCTGCCTCTCTCTCTCTCTCTCTCTCTCTCTCTCTCTCTCTCTCTGACTATCATAAATAAATAAAAATTAAAAAAAATTAAAATATATATATATTAATATTATATCAAATATGAGAGACCTAATTGCCAGCTTTTATGTAGGTATGCTCTTTTTTTTGTTGTATCTCACTAGGGTTTTCAGATTTAGCAGGATTCTTTCCCCCTTCTACTTTCCCTGGACTCCTTTAGATATTCTCCCCTCTACCGATTACATTTTTCTCCGTGATGAGAACTGTACCTACACATGGAAAAAACCTGAATGGTCACTGAATGAAACAGATGATGTTTGTTAGAAAGAAACAGAGTAACTTGATCCTTCCTTCAAACAAAAATGACATTATGTTGTTAAAAAAGTAGATTCTTGGTTTCATATCAGTCTTAATTTTGACTCTAAATGGAAGACATGTGAGGGAAATGATTACCAAAGAAGACTAGAACTATCTAAATTCAGTAATTATGGACTTTTTCCTCCCAGTCTTTTCTTAATTCCTAGCTCCGTTTTTTGTTTTTGTTGTTTACTTTATGACATAACTACATACTGGTTTCATATGTGGCTGTTGCTAAAAAGATATTCTCAGACTTATAGTGCATTGGATGATATTTTTATTGTAATGTTCTGAATAATCAACACTTAAATGTGTACTTAAAATATTTTATAATTGTAGCTGACTTTTCTTATTTTTCCACAAAGATGAAATACTAATGCTATGTGTTCCTTTTAATTTTTAAGTTATATAGATTCCCTGCTGTTCCTTATCTGTGCCTATCAGAACAACAAAGAACTCTTGTCCAAAGGCCCAAACAGAGGACATGATGAAGAATTGATATCACATTATAGAAGAGAATGTTTACTAGTAAGTTGAATATACATAGGTCCTGTTTACTTTATCATTTTGTCTTACATTGAACACATTTTCAGACTCATGTGTGATTGACTATAAATTCTGATGGAGAAAGCATCATGATGATGTTTATAATCTGGGCTTAATCCCTTACAATGTGAGAATGCACTCAATTCTTCATTATCCCTTCTTTATTAATTCTAAATATTGCAGGTGATAAATTAAAAATGTGCTTAAATTGAGATAAAAATAATTACATTTCTATATTTAGATTTCTTCATCATTCTGCCATTCCCTTTTATGGTGAGAGAAGAGGACCTGAGGAATTATTATGATTATTCCAGAAAAAATAATAGATTTTTTTGAGTTTTTATAAATAGTATATTTGGTGTACATAATGTCAAAAGATTCATTGTAATACAGTATCCTTTTTTCTCACCTAGTCATTAGTAGGTTTTTTTCCCTCAAATATTTTTACTATCCATGTGCAGAAATATTACTATTGTTATATAAACTTTAAAAAATCTTTTTAGTAGTTTTTTTTGCACCACATTACTTTCTAGATGTCTGGAGTACTTTCTCTCATTAGCTAATATGTATTAAATGACAAAGTCCATCTTTATATATTTTTCCAATTGAATTTCATCCTTAACTACTAACATTGCTCTTGAATACAAAATTATTCAAGAATGTATGATTTTTGAGCTTATATAAGTTACGTGGTTCAAATATAAACAACTAACTAGGTATGCTGGTAAAATGTTTTCTTTCAGTAGAACTACATAGTATAAACTAATTGTAGTCTTTAGTATGTCTTTAAAATTTTCAAATGAGAATATTAGAAGGTTGTGATCTTACTATTTTTCTCTCAGCTGCTTTTATTGCATTTGAGTGTATTTTAAAACTTAAATTGTTAGTGGTTTGTATCCATGGAGGATAGTTCTTAAATTTGGCCAGTTTCAAAAAGTTTTTAGTCAACACCTGAGAAGGAAGACCTGAATATATTTTAGCTTAAAAAAATACAAGATTTTATATATTTATATATGGAATAAATTAAAGCAATTTTTAATGTAAAAACATTAAAGCCTTGGGATATGGAAATATTTTGGTAAAGCTATTTTAAACATAAATACACCCAAAACTTGGTTACTTCAAAACATTTAAAAAAATGATAGAATGTTTCTCATTAGTTTATAATAGTAAACCAGCCGTATCTAGTTTGGTGTTTTACACAGGGATTTAAATGACACCTCGTGAGGATTATGTCAGGGTTCCTTTTGGGGTTTTTTGTATTGAATATTTACTGAGTGTCAGATTTGAGGGATACAAAGACAAGACCTGTTTATATCCTGCCCTCTGAGAACTCCGTCTGTACAGAAATGACTTTTATATTCCAGAATAAATGTCAATATGAGAAATACGCAAAATCATATGCCTGCAAGTTGTCAAGGAAAACTGTAAGAGATACGAACAACACTGATCTGGATCTTGATGGATAAATAGGAATTTTATGCCTTGTAGAGAAGACAGAAGAACAGTCTAGCCCAGAGGGACAGTATATGAAAAGGCATGGGAAGTATACAACAGAAAATGAAGATAGATCCATTGTGGCTAGGTTATGAGGAACAGGGTTAGGTGGAAATGATGAAGCTAATGGTACTTGTTGATGTCAGCCTATGTAGAAGCTTATGCAGCATTCTAATGAGTTTGGGCCTTTTTAAGTTTGAGTAGATTTGGCATGTTCAGGTTTGTTCTTAGAAAATAATTCTGGCTATAGCATATTAGAGGATGAACTAGAAAGAAGTAGAGATTGAAGTCCCTCGAGGGAGGAAGAAAGGTGAGAGCCTCAACCAAAGCAGAAGTACAGTGGGTACAAAGAAGAGGGCATAGAAGATGATGAAAGAAGTGCCATCAAGGGACTTGGTAACTACTAGATGAGTGGAAAGAAGGAAAAAGAATAATCAAAACTGCCTGACTTTGTAGTTTTGTGTTTGGCTTCTGGGACTCTAAAGAAGATGAATAAATTTGGCTTTGGGTGTATGATATTTAACTTGTTTCCAGACAAGTTAACATTAAATTTCAGAATAATAGTTAACTATTATGTCTTTGAATGTATATTGTAAAAATTATACTACATGCTTAAAGGCTTATTTCATTTAATTCTCTTAACCACTGTATATGGAAGGTGATAATATTCCATTTTCCATATGAAGAAACTGAAGCTAAGAGATTATGTACTTGCTCAAGATTAGATAACTAACTGCTTAGTGACTGAGTTAGATTTTGATCATAAGCCTCTCTACAAAGTCAAGAGATGAATCCTTCAAGAATGACATAAACATAAACATACAATTTTTTTATTTGAAATTCAGCTTAAAACTATGAATATTTCAAAAGCATATCTATCATGCTCTAAACATAACATTTCAGACCTAAACCCTTCAATATTAAGCTCTTGTTATACCTGTAATTCCTTATCTGTTTCCTATGTCTGTATTTCTTATCTCATGAATTTCTGTCTTCTGCTATCAGGGGTCAGCACACTTGGCCTGTACTCTAGTCTACCACGTGTTTTTGTAAATAAAGTTTTATTGAAACATAGTCCAATCATTTGCATATTATATATGGCTGCATTAGTGCGGCAATGACAGAGTAGTTACAGCAGAAACCATATGGCCCTCAAAGCCTTAAGTATATCTTACCTTGTCCTTTACAGAAGTTTTCTAATCTCGATGGCTAATTGTAAGCTCTGTGAGGGTTTCCTGTACTAATCACTTGGGTTCCTCTGAAACTAGAACAGCCTCTGGCATATAGTATGTATTCAGTAAGAATTTTTTGAAGGAATAATGAATTAAATGATTGATTTTATATTTTATATTCAAGAAATACAACAATATTTATTCACTTGGAATTTACAAAGAAGATGATAAAATGTTCTTCAAAGTTAATATGGAATCTGAATTTTTTTTTAATTTTTAAAATTACTTTGATGTCTTCCCAAATTTTAGAATAGGGGAAATTTACCTCTGGAGAATAAAAATGGCCCTTGTAGTGATGATTACAGTAACATAAGCTGAATATGAACTTTAAAAATATAACAATATTTTCGCCACTTCTTTTTGCTTTTGTTTTTATTATTATATGCACAGCTTTTTCTAAGAGACTTCATGCTCGAATAGATTGAGATTGTTTTTCCTGATTGCTATTTGTTCTAAAATTGTTTGAAACATACTTATTACATCATCTTCAATATTAACACAAGTGTTTTTATTTAATTAAAAAAACCCAAACTCTCTCTTTCTTTTCCTCATTGCATTAAGAAATTAAATGAGCAAGCGGCAGAACTATTTGAATCTGGAGAGGATCGAGAAGTAAACAATGGTCTGATTATCATGAACGAGTTTATTGTCCCATTTTTGCCCTTGTTATTGGTGGATGAAATGGAAGAGAAAGATATTCTTGCTGTGGAAGACATGAGAAATCGATGGTGTTCCTATCTTGGACAAGAAATGGAATGTAAGTCTAACCTGTGCTAGTGGGCACCTCAGTTGTTGGGATTAAGTGTAGTTAGAATTAGATGTTATTTATTCTTACCATTTTTTATATTCTGTAATATTTTACATTCACATCATTACTTTTCTTTTCCTGTTTACAAACCAAGTTGTGCACATTGCCTTGCCATTTATATTCTACCTCTCTCCACCAAATGGTAATTATTTTGCATATTTTGAAATGAAACATCAATTGACCACTTTAATAAATCATGTTAAAGATAATTTCTTTCTCTCTCTATCTTTAGCTACATCTAATTGTTTATATTTACAGCAAACCTCCAAGAGAAGCTGACAGATTTTCTGCCAAAACTGCTCGATTGTTCTACTGAGATTAAAGGTTTCCACGAACCACCGAAGTTACCTTCATATTCCACACATGAACTGTGTGAGCGGTTTGCCCGAATCATGTTGTCCCTCAGTCGAACTCCTGCTGATGGAAGATAAACTGCACACACTTTCCCTAAACACACTGTATAAACTTTTTTTAGTTCTTAACCCTTGCCTTCCTGTCACAGGGTTTGCTTGTTGCTGCTATAGTTTTTAACTTTTTTTTATTTTAATAACTGCAAAACACAAAATGACTATACAGACTCTAGCCGGACTACAAACAATAAAGCTGAGAATCGCATGGCGCTCAGACTTTGTTTTAACAAGGACTGATGTATAATTACAAATCTGATTGATTTCATTATGGCAAAACCATGCTTTTGCCACCTTTCTGTTACAGTATTACTTTGCTTTTTTTCTTTTATCTATAGCTTTCCATTCAGTCTGGATCCTTCCATGACTGCAGCCATTTAAGTGTTCAGCACTGTGTACGATACATAATACTTGGTAGCTTGTAAATGAAATTAAAGAATAAAGTTTTATTTATGGCTACCTATGTGTTTGTTAGCAGGTATATTGTATATTAGTGTATTATTTTAGTTATATATAAATGAATTTTGTCTGGGGATTGTGTAAGATTGGATGGACAGATGACTAGATTATTACAAACTTTTAATTTTTCTCTGTTAGCATATTGGAAATTTACTAAATATTTGACACTTAAATGTATCTATATTTTTGACTAAGTTGTTAAACTTAGTGGCACCTAAACCTGTTTTGAATTCAAATCAGGTTTTCACTGAAGTAAGCGGCTGATATTTAAGTCAACCACACTGAAACTTTTAACTTTTTCTTAGATTAACCTTTTATTTTTTTATGTATTTACAAATAATATAGCAAGGTGATTATTTCAAGAGATACCAGAAAAAAGTACTTGAATAAGGGCTATTTAATAGTGAAACTTATAAGAAATCTGTATATGTATATACACACACAGACACACATACACACATATACACATTCTTCATAATGGAGGACAATGTTTTACATTATATAATCATTCTATTTTTGTAAATTGTATACCACTTTAATTGAAAATGTTCTCTACTAATCAATGCTGTGAAATGAAGTTGATATTGTTGAACTAGAAGTTATGAGTACCTTACCTGCTTTTATTTTCCTCCTTTTCAAAAAGAAAAAGCTGTAGAATGTTTTGTAGATGGAACTGCTGTTTAAGATTAATGAAGTAATATTGTGAATGAAAATCAATGCTTTAAAGGTAATCATGTTACCAATAACCTATTTTTGACTTTATAAAAATTTCTTTATAAATGATACTTTGTTAGCATAGTAAAATATATCATTATACTATGTGTATGTTTGTTATAGCGCCGCCAAAACTCGAACTCTTTATAAGTGCCTTTCATAAAAGATCTTGGACAGAGGAGGAAGAAGAAAATATTAAGCAATTATGTAACGTTCCTTAAGGTATGAATGCACCAGAGGTATTAATGACAAGGAATTGGTACTATTTTTATCTTAAGGTTAGATTTTGCACATTGTAGCTACCAAAATGTGTTTTGGTTTAGATTTTTAATTCTCTACTAAGCAGAATTAGTATCCTACATTGGTTTTCAGATCCTGTCCAAAGTTTTAAAACTCCATATGTATCAGCAAAGTATTTGTAAAGTATCTTCAGTATTCTGTGATATTCTACAATAATGGTAAAATTGTCTGTGTTTCTGTGTATAATTGACCCACTGAGACACAAAGTGCTCAAACACCATGTGGAAATTACTCCCTTCACAAGGCATATCCAGGGAAAATCGTATGTGGTTCTTATGCTGAAGGTAAGTATTATTATTGTTTTTACTTTCTACTTAAAAAGCCAGCTTATTCATTCCTGTTAATCACCCTGAAGTACTCATTTTTTAAAAGTGACCTTTTTCAAGACCTGGGAAAACAACTTGCTTTTGTATCAATATGTTTCAATCCGGTCTAAACTGGACCAGGGCAATAGATAAAACTGTCAGCATTTTATGCACCTGAAATTGATGCTGTTTAATTTCCATTTACCTCTGATCCCTTATTGGAAGCTTTTTAGTATTTCCTTCAGTTGTGATGTCAAGGAAGTAACTATAAAAAAATCATTTTCTTAGTTTTAGATTTATTGACACTAAGGTGGATTTTCTCCTCCTATAACTGATTCTCTAGAGTTCAGTATCTTTGTTTATGATTCAGAGTTGTTGACTTCTGCCTCTAAATCCTACTGCATCCCCAAAAAGTACAGTCACTCAGATGCTTATGAGCAGTGAGTAGAGATACCCTTGTGCGTAATCATTTTTTGTTGTTTTTTAAAATTTATTGTACGTCATTAAGCAGATTATATATCATTTGTTGTGCCCATGATAACTTTATCCAAAGTATGTATATTTATCTCAGGGCTGCCATGACAAAGTACTACAGGCTAAGTGGGTGGGTTATCGAACAAATTTATTTATTTTCTCAGAGAAAATAAATTTTACACCAGTCATACTGGATGAGGACCCCACCCTTACGACCTCATTCGGCCTTTAAAAGCTCTATTTCCACATACGGTTACCTTGGGTGGAGTGGTTTCAACGTAGGATTTTGGCAGTGGGTGACACAATTCAGTCCATAGTGTGTGACAGTGTTTATTTCCTCCTTTCCAAACACAAAAGTATGATAGCTTCTTCCCTTTAGCCTCAAGATTACAATGCAAGTATCCATGGTTCTGCTGTTATATCCGCTTTATTGTTTTTACTTTCACTGTTTTCTAAAAACCATGTTTGTTAAAGCTATAGCAAACCAAGTTAGGAATTGCTCACAATGCATTCATCTAATCCGTATCAGTTCAGTGTATTTTCATTGAACAGATCTTTGTTGAATTAATGAAATACTTATGTTGACTGCCCGTGTTTATGTGGGTTTCCCCCATCAGTTTCACTTAACTTTGTACCATGGATCTGTTTCTACTTTGCTAATGTTTTTATTCTTACCTGCTCCTCTTCCCTTTTCCATCGCCCTTTCCACCCTCAGCCCAGAGGTAACTACTGTTAACCATTGTGGCCATGTTTGGGTAATGTTATGCAATGTATACACAAAAGTATTGGGTTTTGGGGAGGGAGCAGAAAAGGAAAGGATCATCTATTCTATGCATCATTTCTTCTCCTCACTTCCAGTCTTTCTGGCCTTGAGTTCCTTCTTTTTCTAATAAGCTTTAATAAAAGTGACAGTAATTAAATAATAATAAATGCTATGACACTAATAAAAAATATGAGTCATGATTGAGGGGACTATATATACAGCTGAATACACACGTGCATACACATTGGAATTTCAAATATCCTTATTCATTCTATGTGTAGTTTTTCTCAATGGCTATTTCAAACCACTACCATTCTCAACCTCCTAGTCCATGCCAGCTCCAATAAAACAGGATGATTTTTCCTTTGCCTTACCAAGAAAATGGAGCCATTGGATATGATACCCTTCAACTTTTAACCTCCATACCTATGCATTTACAGTTAATTATTAGTTAACCAAGATCTAATAAGAGGTGGATATTATTGATAACCCAGTGTTAGGAGGAAAATATAAAATCAAATATGATGTAAAATGAACTTACACCTTTACTTAAAAGTACATCCATTATTTGGGGGACATATTTCCTCTTCTGTAGAATTCAAAAACCGTACTCTTTGCCTTATTCCAGCGCAAGCCAGTAAAACATCAGTTTGTCCTTTAGCAAATGGTTCTCACATTTTCAATAATCTAGAGCTAGACTAATATTCTTAACCTTGGTTGTGCATCAAAAGCACATGAGGAGTGTTCTTTTAAAAAAGTGTCTAGGTCCTATCTAACATGGATTCTTAAAAGACTTTTAAAGTGAGAACTAGTATGAGAACATTTGGTAGGTGTTTCTCCACTTTATTTTTTCTAAGAATCAACTCTGCCATTACCTTGAGAGACTAATAATGGAGTCTGACAAAAGCAGGACGGAAAAATTTGCTTTTTGCATTCTTGTATGTCACATGAAAAGGCAAGTGATTTACATTTGATGCTGCTCCCCTCAGCCATGGAACATGCCCATTTTAGTATGTGCTCCAGCCAAAGCTATGCTCAAATGCTGCCTGGGTCTGGATTCTGGGTCAGCTGTTTACTTGACCAGCTATGATTCTTCAACTCTTCTGCTTTTCCGTGTTTCTTCATCTAGAAAATGGGATTATAGCATAACCTACTTTATAGGACCTTAAAAGTTTAAATGGGTTTCTATATATAAAATTCTTAGAAAATATCTGCCACATAGTGTTCAATAATTGTCAGCCTTTTTTTTTTTTTTTTTTACAAAAATTTGTCGTTATTGATTACTCCTGATTTTCAGAATCTGCCTTCCTGAGACAGGCTTCTTTGGACTACTCTCATTCCTTACCTGCATTCTGTATCATTTCTTTTGTATCCTACTCCTTAAAACATGAGTGTTGTCAGGCTCTGTACTTGGCCCTCTAACTCTTCACCTTTCCTGGATAGTTGTGTCTACTAGTTTATCTTCTTGTACTGCCTACATGCTGATGATTCACAAGCCTGTGTCTCTTAATTTCTAACCAAACCAACCTCGTGCATTTTAGAACCATATATGTTTCCAGTTGTCTGGTCAACATACAGACTTGGATATTTCACAGGTATTTCAAACTTTGCACATACACTGCATTCATCACCTCTTCCCAGACCTAATTATCTTATATTCCCTTGGTGAATGATATAATAATCCAGACATGGGAAATTATTCTTTTTGTTGTTGTTGTTAAAGTTTTTTTTTTTTTAATTTTTATTTATTTATGATAGTCACACACAGGGAGAGAGAGAGAGAGGCAGAGACATAGGCAGAGGGAGAAGCAGGCTCCATGCACCGGGAGCCCGACGTGGGATTCGATCCTGGGTCTCCAGGATTGCGCCCTGGGCTTTGGCAGGTGCTAAACTGCTGTGTCACCCAGGGATCCCTTTGGGGAATTATTCTTAATTCTACTTTTATTTCCCCTTGATGACCAAGTGTCAACAGGTCAAAATTGTTAATACCTTGCTTATGCATTTCTTCACTACTATGTTGATGAGATCTCTCATCTCTTAATTTGGACAATTAGATTTGGTCATTAATGGCCCTCTGTCAGCTCTTTGTTTTAGCTGAAATACAGTTGATCTACACTGGCCTCTTTGTCATTGATCTTTCCCCTTATAGCCCATCTTCTATACTGTTGGCAGAACAATCTATTAAAGAGGTTTTATATGTTTGTCTTCGATTGCTGGGCTCCTTAGAGAGAGATAGTATCCTGTTTTTGTAACCTTAGCATCTGTTAAATTAACTGGCAACTTAATTGAAGAGTAAGTAGTCTTACAGGTTCTCTGGTTTTCTAGCCAGCCATCTTTTTTTTTTTTAAAAGATTTTATTTATTTATTCATGAAAGACACAGAGAGAGAGAGAGAGAGAGGCAGAGACACAGGCAGAGGGAGAAGCAGGCTCCAGGCAGGGACCCTGAC